CCGGGCCAAGGGGGAGCCGCGCCCGGCCGCGCCGCCTCCGTCGCCTGCCCCGGGGGCTGCGGTGGGTGCGGCTGCTCCCGCTCCCGCAGACGCCGAGGCTCGGCCGCCGGAGACGCCCACCAGCCCCTACCTCACCCCGGACTTTGGCAAGGAGGACCCAATGCAGATCTTGGGTAAGGCCACGGAGGCCTCTGCGTGCGGCCCGGAGCCGGCTTGGCCCGGGCTCGAGCGGGGGAGCGGGCAGGGCCGACCGAGCGGGATTTAAAAAAAATTGATAATGCAAGTTGCTAGTCCTTAGGACTGTGGAGGTGGGCGTGCGGGCAGTGCCTGGCCGGCATCTCTGCCAGGGCGGGTGGAAAGCAGAAACGGGGTGCAGCTCTCCCAGCATGGGCACAGTGGTTTAAAAAGGGGCTCGGGCTGCACTGGGGTAGAATTCACAGCATAGAGAACGAGGACGAATAGCTCCGGGAGGGGCCCCAAACGGCCCTCAGAGCTGCCAAGCCTTTGGCCCCTCTGCGTCAGCACTGGCCACATCAGGAGTTGGGGGACCCCAGGGCCTTCCAGAAGCAGCTGGACCTCAGCCCCAGCCAGAGGCCGGGGAAGATAGGAGTTGTACTTCCTCCTCATCCGGAAGCCCCCATGCTTCCCTGGCCAGCAGAAGCGCTCCCAGGTTTTCCAGCCCTTTATTCTGTCTGCTCTGTTGATATGAAGTCCCCCAATCATGTTATGCTCCAGGCAACTCAGAGCATAAACTGATAAAATGCAGTGGGGAAAAAAGCACATTCAGTGTCAAAAATTCAAAAATACCAGAGATTTAACAGTGATACAACCAAGTCCTGAGATGATAAAAGCAGGTGAGAAAGAAATACGCTGTGTGTGCAGCAATTTGGAATTCTAAGATACTGTTTCGCACAAGGCCTGGACTGAGCTGTGCACTTTTAGCACGAAAAGGGATTCCTCTTCCATGGCTCTCTGCACCTAAGGGGGCGACAGCACCGCACCCCCAAGAACCCACCCCTCTGCTTCACGCAGGACCATTTCTGTTTTGAGTCACACCAGCGGTCAGTGCTGGTCAGGGCCAGCGGCCCTTTCCTCGCCCTGCGCACGAAGCTCTCACGAAGCATCTTTCCCAGCTTCCGGGCCCACGGGCAGTGCTCCTTCAGTCGCATGGCCATTGAAAGGGATTTCGGTGTACACTCGTTACGCTTCGGAGCCTCTTTCTGAGATACACAGGTGCCCTGCTCCTGGCTTGTGGAGTGCTTGTCCAGAAGGTGGCCTGTTTTTGGTCCACAGGCTGCCAGCCACGGGCCACGGCAGTAGAGCTTCTGTGGGCAGCTGCTGCTTTGGGCCCTGGTTCTGTCGAGCCGAGGCTGGAGACTTCTGGGCAAAGCTGCCTTCTGCCAGGAGCTGCCTGCCCTTGCTGACTTGGCCTGCACGTCCTCAGACATTTTGGATACGATCTCTCTCCGTATCATGAAAACTATTTCATCACAATAGTTGCATAACATTTACCTCTGGTTTGAAGACTGTCAGGTGGAGAGACAGCCTGTAAAATTAATGAGAACTAGGATCTTCAATGTAAAAACAAAGAGGTTTGCATCAATATGGGGGCTGCTCAGTGTCAATTGGTTGTCGCTGTGGCCAGATTCCTTTTGATGGTGCCAAATCTCCACATCTCTTGAAAGAACATGATTCAGTTCTTGTATCCGTCATGCGATTGTCCCATAGGTCAGATTTCAGGCTTCCTGAATCCCCTGGAAGGTCACTTAAGTGTGACATCGGGGTTTGTTTAGCTTGGAAAAAGCGTGAATGAGGGCAGGCGTGGGGGAAGTGTCCCAAAGGTTGCATGGGGCGGGAAAGAGACATTTTGCTCCTGCTCCCGTCTGACTGGGACCCAGAGGGTCACCCGGTGAAGCTGGCAGGTGGGAGACTCCAGAGAGGGAAGAGAAGGGGCTTCTTCGCGCAACGCATGGGCAAATGCTGGAACGGGCGCGAACGGGAGGTGGGGTTCGCCCCTGGAGGAGAAGGCTACCCCTGGCTGGGAGTCCTGCTGGCCATTCAGGACCCCCAGGACTAGAGTCATTGTGCCCTTGTGCACCAGTTGCCGGGGAACATGGGTGGGAGGATCTGCACACACGTCGTGTCTGTGGCCTTGCCCGTGTGGCAGCTGGCCAGCCACAGCGTGAACCGAATGCTGGACCACACGGGCCCTGCTCTGATCCAGCGCAGCCGCTCTGAGGCTCTCAATTTATGGCCGGCGCCGGTTGCTTACGATCAGCAACAGCCGTCGCTTCAGCACTGGCTCCCCCCGCCCCCCCACAGAGGGCTTGGTCCTCTGCTGGGTTCCCAGGCCCTCCCTTTTTGCCACGGGCTCACGCGGCGCACGACTGGCTGCGGGCAGGGGGTGGCTTCAGGCGTGCTCGGAGCCGGGGCAGCGCTGTTGGGGCTGTTGGGGGGGGGGTGAACTATACAGATGAGGGGAATAAGCAGAAGGTGGATCAACAAAGGGGTGGAGCCGAGTTTCCTGTGGTGCCCCACAGAAAGGGTCCTCCTCTCTGCGCAGTATCTCTTTGTGCCCCACTGATGTGGCACAGAGGTGGCCTGGCCTGGCCCGTGACTGAAGGGGGCCACAGCCAGGGCGGTTGCAGAGGGTGCCTGACCTGGGAGCCGCCTCCGTCTCCCGGAGCGTTGTTGGCATCCTTGCGTGGCTGGTGCAGGCTTTCCCTCCCCCACTCCTGCCGGGCGGTGGGCAGTCCTCAGGGGCACCCCCTCGCATGGAGTCTGGCAGCGTGGAAGGGCCCCCCGAGAGCCAGGAGCCGGTCTTGCTCTGACAGCTTTCTCTGGGTGGCACGGCTCTGCAGAGACACCCCCCCCAGAGGATCTGCAGCATGACAGAAGGACACGGAGCCAAGAACAGCCCAATTCCACCCCAGTGGGGCACAGCAGGGCTCTCCAAGCGTGGGGGGGGGCAGTGACAGAGCCTCCTGGTGGTTAGAGCAGGACGACCATGGAACCAGTTCCCAGGTGTGTGTGGGGGGGGGGGGGGGGCTGTACTGAAGGGAGGCATTCAGGATGCATCTGGACAGCGGTCGGAGGGGGTGGCGCAGCTGGGAGTCCTGCACTAAGTGGGGACAGACCCTCTGGCCCCGCAGCTCCGCTGTCCTTGATGCCGATCCTGTGCTTCAGGGGCAGTCAGCCTGCCTCCTTGGCCAGCCAAGGAAACCTCCTGCTGGTCAGGAGGGGCCAGCCCTCCTCTTCCTCCAGAACAAAAGCCCAGCAGGAGGGCCACTGGCTGGAGCCCTCCCTTAGAGCTGGCTGGCTGAGGGCCAGGCGGTGCCTCTGGGGAGGGCCAGGGCTGTTGTCCCCGTGCACCCAGAACCTCAGCACCTCGGGTGACTTAGCTAGGATCCCCAGGTCACGTCCGTGTGGGCCCTGAAGCCCTTTGTACCCCAAGCAACCGCTCGGATGGTTTGGGCTGGCAGTCTCCCTTTTAGGGTTTAGCCAGCAGGTGTCACTCTCTGAACATGCCTTGGCGATGCTCAGCGCAAAGAACTCCCCTTACCTGCCCTGGGCTACCCCACCTCTGTGGAAGTCGCGGAGATGCCCCGCTTAGCAGCACCGTCCGTCGGGTGGAACCGGCCCCTGGCTCTTCTGCTTACCGCCCTGGTCTCTTTCAGACGACACTCCGCCGCCACCAGCCCCGTTCACCCACCGCATCGTCCAGCTGAGGACGGGGGACTTCAGAGATACCTTCAGCATCAACACCAAGGACATGCTAGGCGGGTAAGACAGGGGCCGTGCTCCAGCGGGGTCCCCCCTTCTCCGTGGGGCACCCCCTCATTATGCTGCCAGGATATGTCCTCTCTTAGACAAGCAAAAGTGTCTGGGCCCCGAGGTTGCAATAGAGGCTCCGGCAAGTGCGGGGGCAGAAAAGGGGGCGCAACCCGCACGGGCAGGCCAAGCCGCACAAGTTCAGCATGCGCTCCTTGGGGGGGGAGTGATCCTCTGCGTCGGACTTGGAAGGAAGCTCTGAGAGAGCCCCCCCCCCCCCGCAATGCGGTGGCAACGTGAGTTTCTTTCTTGCCCCAGGGGGAAGTTTGGAGAAGTCCGAGTGTGCACTGTGAAGGAGACGGGCCTCAAGCTCGCCGTGAAAATTATCAAGAAGCAGGGGCCAAAGGACCGGGTACGTGCTCTGTGCAGGGGTCGCTCTGGGCGCGGTGCGGGTCGTGTCCCTCGCAGCCCGGCGGCTGGATCCCACGCTGGAGAAAGGGCCGTGCCGAGCGGGTGGGTGGAGAGAAGGCAGACGGCACCGGGCCCACATACCAAAAATATCAGCTCTGCTTGGCCGGGGAGCTGTTGCTGCCAGTGACTAAGAGGCCTTTCACGCTTTCGGAATGAGAGAAGCTCGGCTCCAAACTTGGGAATGGTTCTGGTGCAGAGTTCCACTGCACCACAGCCCTGCACAGCCGGGGCAGAGGCCCAGGACCAAAGAAGGAGGCCGAGGAGCAGCGGCCTCGACATATAAGGAGCCGTCGGCACGCTCTTCTGCGTCAGGCTTCGTGCCACGATCTCCAGCACGACCGATCTGCCAAGCGCGCGCTTGCCCCTAAGGGAAAAGGGATGGCTGCGCCTGCTTTAAGGGCAAATCCGTTCCATCTCCCGTGTCCTACTTACTCACTTATTGTATTCCTATCCCGCCGTTTTTCCTTCCAAGGAGCTCGAGATGGCTTCCATCATTCTCCTCCCCCCCTCCGTCTCATTCTCACAACAACAGCCCTGTGAGGTAGGCTGGGCTGAGAGCCTGTGCTGGGCCCAAAGTCATCCGGTGAGCTCCGTGGCTGAGTGGGGGGCAGAACCCGGACCTCCTGAGTCCCTGTCCTGCACTCTTGCCCACGGCACCGCACGGACCCTCTTATCACGTGCTCCTGATCTTCACTCGCAGCTTTTTCACACGATGCAGCCAGAATCGCGGCCTTTGGACGATAGCGAGGCCCATGTGCTGCTCTTCCCTCCCCTCTCAATAAAAGGTCAGGAAAGGCCTGTGCAAACGTGGAGTTCCGCTGTGCCGCAGCACTGCCTTGTGATTGCGGAACAGAAGGTGCAGAAAGGCAGGAAAGCGGAAAAAGTCCGCACGTGAAGAAGGCTGCCGCAGAGGGAGTCGGCTTTGGCCTTGGGGAAGCAGCAGGGGGGCCCTCGGAGAGCGGTGGGCGGCCGGCCGGCGGCCTCTGGCCTTGCACTTTGAAGAGGAGAACGGCTCGTCACACCCCTGCTGTGGGCCGGGTTTGCTTTAGAGGGAGAAATTGCCCGTGCCGGACCCCTCTTGCGCACGGCGTGATGATCCACGCGTCCCTGCCTGGGCGGGGGGAGCTGAGCGGTCCGTGCAGGGTGGGGAGGGCGATGCCGGGTGCAGAGCTTGGGCTCCTGACCCGAGACCGAACGCCGGCGTGGTGCAGCGGCAAGAGGGCTGGACAAGGGCCTGGGAGGTCCAGTTCTGGTTCTGGTCTGCACTCAGCCGTAAAGCTCCTGGGGTCGCTTTGGGACAGTCACCGACTCTTGGCGTAACCTACCTTACAGGTTGTTAGGAGGATAAAATGGAGAGGAGGAGGGGCCGCCTTGGCTCCCTTGCAAGGGGAGAAAGGTGGGATCCAAATGCCATGCAATGAAAGATAATAAAATAAGAACTGGGCTGGAGGATCCGTGGCTCGCTGGCTGAGCACCTGTTTGGGAGGCAGCCAGCTCCTGGCTTCTTCCCTTAAATCAATCAGACAACGGGACCCTTTCTAGGCCTAAGAACCTGGGCAGCCACTGCCAGGCAGAGTGGACGATTGAAGGCAATGTGGCATAGTGGTTAGAGTGCTGGAATGGGGAGCCACAGTGCCCCTGCTTGAGCCGTGAAGCTCTCTGGGTGACTGGGCCAGTCCCTAACTCCCCTCCTAACCTACTTCGCAGGATGGTTGTGAGGATAAAACAGAGGAGGGCGGCCGTGCTGGCTGCCCTGGGTTCTTTTTAAGAGGGAGAGAAGAGGAGCATAAATGTAGTCATATCAAAGGACTCAAGAAAAATGCAAACTCCAAAGAACCCTGCTGGATCAGGCCGGGGAGGGAGAAGTCCAACCATCCAGCCCTGCTTCCTGCCTTCACAGCCCCCCAGGAGACACCCACAAGTGCCCTCCGAGCCCATGTTCCCCAGCAACTGGCCTCTGATACTGGAGGTTGCGTGCAGGGCTCAGGACTGGCAGGAGTGGGCCCGATCCCCTTTTAAAGCCCTCCATCTGTCTGGAATCTCCCTTGGAGCAGCTTCCTGGGACAGCCCTGCTGGGCTGCAGCGGTTTGGAAGAGCGGGAAGGACGGCTGGGCCCCACCTCTGCATCAGGCGTAGAAAATAGTCTGGCCTGGAAGGAGGCCGCTCCGCGGGGAAGCCCCGTGGCCGTCCCTACGCTTCGCGCACAGCAGGCAGCATCCTTCCCTCGCCGAGAGCCGCTTGTCGGAGGGGATCAGCTGACTGGAAGCAGTGGGTGTTGCAGTCCGACCCGTCTGGGGGGCACCAGGTTGGGGAAGGCCGGAGTAGGCGGTGCTGGACAAGACGGGCATTGTTCTCTGTTCCCTTCTGGCTGCAGCAGCTGCAGATGTTTGGAGACCATGCGGGGAGAGGGCTGGTGCAGGGCACTGGTGCTGGGAGTGCTGGGAGAAGCCCAGGGGGAAGGTGTGCGAGGCACACGAAGCTGCCCCGGATGCAGGTGGTCCTGAAGCGCCTTGGGTGGGGCTCCGTCCTGGCCCCGCTCCAGCAGGAGGGTCCGGGCTGGGGTCTTCTGTGTGCTGCACACGCGCTCAGCCCCCCAGCTGTGGCCGCGGCAGGCAGCAGATCTGTCAGGAGAGGGCGAGGCACGAGGAAGGAGAGGCGGGCGGCTTTGTGGACGCTTCTGCCTCGAGGAAGAAGGCAGGCGCTGTGGCGAGGGGGCGGCCGGGGGCAGCTGTGTCATCCGGACCTCCCACCCTCCCCGAAAAGATTCTGTGTTTGGGCAAAGTGATTGCGCATCCAGACTGGGCTCGAAGCTCCAATCCCTGGGTTTGGACAACGCGGTAGCCCTCTCTCAAGGGCGGAGTTGGCGGGGCGTGCGTTAGAAACAGAAACCGGGCGAGTCAGAAGGGGCCTCCCGGGCCATCTAGTCTGACCCCCGGCTCCAGCCGGCTCCACTCACAACATGCCCGCCATGTGCATGACCAGCCTATCCTTGAGCACCCACACCGATGGGGCCTCAACCACCTCCCATTCCACGGAATGGAAGCCCATTCCACGCCCTCGGGGTCCTGACTGTCAGGAAGCGCTTCCTGGCATCCAAATGGAACCTTGGCTCCCTGTTGTCTTTACTCTGTGAATTGCTGCTGAAAGGGAGATTATGGACCTGCCTGCACTCAGCCCAGGTAATAATCCAAGGAGGACCCCTCCCCACAGCTCACCCCCCCACACACACACACACACACTGTGCAGTTTCCTAATGACTAACAAGCCATGGTTTATTAGCATGGTTGAGTTCAGACAGCAGGATAGTCGGGGGCAGAGAGCGGATGAAGACGCTCAGCTGGATGTGGCAGGAGATCCAGGGATCGGCGAGGTGTCCGAATGATGCGAAGAGGGAGGAGGGGGAGAGAGGGAGGGAAAGAGGCCAGCCCAGAGACACGTGTGGCGACCCCGAGCAGAGGTGCCCGTTGTCGCGCAGGTGGAGAGTAGAAGGATGCATCTGGAGAGCTGCAATTCAGTGGCGCTCCACAGAAAAGAAAATCGCAACGCGGAGGGCAGCTTCCAAATGCTCTGTGCACCGTGAGCGGAATTCAACCTCCACATGCTCTAAAATGCGCACAGACCCGAACATGCAAACCAGCGGCAAAAGGAAGCCTCCCCTCTCTGCAGCGCTGCCTTGTTTCGCCCTGGATTAACGTCTCCCGGGTTCAAGTGGCCATGAGAGAGATGCCGTGCAGGGTCTCCATGCTGGCTGTGCCACACCAATGCCGAGCCTGCCTGGGCTTCTTTCGAGGTGCCTGGCCTGGGCCGGGAGAGCGAAATACGGGGTGGAGGGCCCGGAGCAGGACGGGGCGAGGCCGGAGCCCCAGGGGAGGCAGGCTGGGTTTTGCCCGGCATCCCGGGCATGGGGGAGACCAGCTGGGAGGCCCGGCAAGGCACTGCCCAGCAGGCCGGCGCTTGTGGGGGGAGCGCAGCTGGGCGGGGGCGCTGTGCCTGACGTGGGTCTGTCCTGCAGGAGATGGCCGAGGTGGAGATCGACGTGATGAATCAGCTGAACCACCAGCACCTGATCCAGCTGTACGACGCCATTGAAACGCCGAGGGAGATCATGCTCTTCATGGAGTTGTGAGTGGCCCAGAGCCCTCCCCCCCGGCTCCACCCCACCACAGAAGGGTCGCAGGTAGCAGGGGTGGGGGCCAGCCCCGACGGAGAGCAGGAGAATGGCTGCCGGCCGGAGGAGGCGCACTGGGCAAGGGGGGGGGATCCGACTGTTTGCCCTGCTTTCAAGGCAGCGTTCTTCTAGTCCCTACGAGTGGGATGAGCAGGTTGCAGAAACTGCAGGAAATGCCCGGGGAAGCCAGATCCGCAGGGTCCCCTCACAGGAGGGGAACTTGTGGCGCAGTGGGCCATATCCCCCTCGGGAAAGTTTCTTGGGGGGTCTCGGTCTGCTCGCACGCCTCGGCCTAGCCTACCTCGCAGGGCTCCTCTGAGGATCAGGGGGGATGGCCCTGTGCAGCATCCCTGAACGCCTCCGAGGGGGAACCCTCAGAAAGAGGGGCGGCTTAAGCCCATCTGCCCCCCAGAAATGGCCCAGGGAGCGGTGCAGGTGGAGAGGAAGGGGGAGCGAGAGGGGGGGCATCGCCCAGGCCTAACACCGCCCCCGTGCGCAGCGTCGAGGGCGGGGAGCTGTTCGAGCGGATCATCGACGAGGACTACCGGCTCACCGAGGTGGACTGCATGGTGTTCGTGCACCAGATCTGCGACGGGATCCTGTTCATGCACCGCATGCGCGTGCTGCACCTGGACCTCAAGGTGCTCGCCCCGGGCCGTCCGGGGGGGGGGGGCGTCGAGGGGGAGGGGCCGGCGGTGGGCGCCGCTCTGGGGAACGGCCAGGGGGCCCTGAGGCTCGGGATGTGTAGGAGCGGAGGCCGGACTGTCGAGCGGAAGCCCCGTCCCACGTGGCCGGGCCGCCCTCCTCCGGAAAGAGGGCAGGGGCTGCCCGGAGTGCTCCAGGGAAGGGGCCTGCAGGGCCCGTGGGGCCGGGGGTCCCACCACAGCAGGGGCTGAAGCCAGGAAGTGGCAGCGCCTCCTTTCCTTCCGTTTTCTGCCAAATAATTTCCCCAGGTGATGGCGACTTCCCGGATTCTGAGCCACGGAGCTGTGGGGAGAGTTGCCCCCTCGCCCACTCTGTCGTGCTACATGTGAAACACCCCCTTGGAGCCCCACAATCGAGCCCCTCCCAGCCTGGTCCCCTCCGGACATGTTGAGTTGCCACTCTCATCCTCGCCAATAGGCGTGTCCTTGCTCGGGATGATGGAGGTTGCAATCCCCCGTGAGTGGGTGGGAGGGGAGCTGCCACAGACAGACACCAGGTTCCCAGTGTTCACCTCCTGATTCAGACTCCCCAGGGATGAGGCAGGGGCTGAGTTCAGACAACAGAACAAGCTGTGGTAGGGTGTTTTTAACCATTATTGGTCTGTCATGTCCGAATTCAGTCATCCTATTTCACCACAGTTTGGTCTTCAGAAACCATGATAAGAAAGAGCGACTTGTTCTTTGGTTTCACTGCACCGCCACGGCTTGTCGTGGTTTCCACAGTCCTGGTATGCAGCTACCACAGAGTCTTCTGGAAAGAGTGGCAGCTGCAGTAGCTGTTCTAGCCATCCAACCTCTCTATGTGTGGACCAGTGAGGGAGAGGCACAGAGGCTGATGGGATACAGGCCCACCGTGGGAGGACTAAGTGGGGAGGATGGAAGCCACAGTACCGTGGAAACCACTGGATTGTCTGCCAGGCCAGTCATGGTAAAAAACTGCGAACCATGGCGAGCACAGAGGGCTGCGTGCCGTGTTGTGTCATGTGAACACAGCCGCCAGGAGATGGGGCTTGCACACGCAAAACGGCCTGGGGAACCCCCGGACCCTTTTGCAGAGCCGGCTCGGGCTGTCCCCGCATTTCCGGCTCCCAGGGGCTTGGTTGTGCTCACCTGTGGACCCGCTTCCTCCTTTCCCACAGCCCGAGAACATCCTGTGTGTGACTGCCAAGGGCCACATGGTGAAGATCATCGACTTCGGACTTGCCCGAAGGTAGCCGGGCCCCACGGGGGCTCGCCTCCCCGCGCAATCCCTGGCTGTGCCCTGGGGCGGGGGGGTCGAAGTCCTTAGGGAGGGGGCATGGGCCTGAGGCTCATCTTGCGTGCGACTGTGCGCATGGGTGCGTCTGTGCCGCAGCGCACCAGGACAGACTCCCCCTTCCCCTCTCCCTGCCAGGTACAATCCCCGGGAGAAGCTGAAGGTGAACTTTGGCACGCCGGAGTTCCTGTCGCCCGAGGTGGTCAGCTACGAGCAGGTGTCCTACAGCACGGACATGTGGAGCATGGGCGTGATCACATACATGCTGTGAGTGGGGCGCGGGGGGCCGGGCCCCTGGCCCCAGGTCCTCGGCCTGGGGAAGGGGCAGGGGAGAGGGGAAGGCCTCATCCGGAGGGCGGCCTGGCCTTCTTCCCTGATGGGTCGGAGGGCCGAGGGGCCGAGGGCTTGGCACGTCGCTCGAGGTGCTCAGCTTGTGCATAGCAGCTGCCCCCTAGATGGGCTCCATGGGGCTGGGAGACTGTTTTCCGAGGGTCCTGCAGCCATAGGCAGGATGGCAGCCCACTGCCGTCCTTGTATGGCAGCTCAGCTTAGACGGAAGTGTTTGAGTGGGTACCCATGGACAGTTTTCCCGAAGATTTGTGGCATTTCTGAGGGAATCCCTTTTGGGAAAGCATCAGCCCTTGCTGCCCTATGCACCCCATGCCCTCCCCATCACGCAGCTTGGGAAAAAGCCCTCCATGCTGCCGGCGAGGAGAGCGCCCCCCTGCTGGGATGGTGCATCTTGGATGCTGCAGCCCCGCAGGGCCCCTCGCACGCCAGACGGCTCCAGGGAAGTTCCTCGAGGCGAGCGGCGTCCAAGCTCTTAGCTCGGTCGGGTGAATGGGACCTCTGAGGACGCAAGCAGGGCGCTTCCACGTATGGGGAGAAAGAGAGGGGCCACATTCACCCCCCCCCCAAGCCCAGCCCCCGCGCTTCCCCAGAGTCACTGGGCTGCCCCGACTCAAGGGCTCCTTGGGCTACCTGGCACAGTAACCTTGCCTTCGGGACACACCTGTGCCTGGGACACCTGCCTCCCGGCCTGCCTCTCCCGTGGCAGCTGCCGCTTTGCCGTCATGCCACCCGGGGGGGCAAGTGGTGGTGACAGCCACGCCAGCTCAGGTGGTTTGTGGAGGAGAGGTCCCCCGGCTGTGCTTCCTTACTGACTCTGGAGATCTCTCTTCTCCGTGGTGGAACTGAAGCACCCACAGCGCCCCCCCCCCAGCTGATCTCCCCTCCCAGCACAGACCGGACCAGGCGTGCTTAGCTTCAGCCTCATGGGCCTTCCGGCCACACCCTGTTGCTAGCAAGCAGTGGAGACTCCACATTCAGGAGCAGTATACCTCTCTGCACCAGTTGTTGTGGCTGTGCGGGTCCTGGGGACTCCATGCTCTGATCTTTTGTCTCATCTAGCAAAGACCCCCCTTTTCTCTCAGGCATGCAGAGCCTGGGACTCGGGAGTTAAATCTGGAAGCCACGGTCCCTTGCCTCTGATCGCTGTTTCCTGCACTCGCCGCCCCACCTCTAAAAGCTCGAACAGCTTCTCTCAAGTTTCGTCCCCTAAACTTGGTCGGTGTTTCTGGCCCTCTCTGTCCATTATGTGGCTGCGTGGGTTCTTTGTGCAGCCGGATGACCCCAGAGGACCTTGCTCTGGCCAAGGAAACGGCGCTGCGTCTCCGGAGGGCTTTCCGTTCCCGCGGATCTTTGATTCATGTTCTCCTGCTCTCCCTCCCACCCACTCAGGCTGAGCGGACTCTCCCCTTTCTTGGGGGACAACGACACAGAAACCCTTAACAACGTCCTGGCGGCCAGCTGGTATTTTGACGAAGAAGCCTTCGAGGGGATCTCTGACGAAGCCAAGGACTTTGTCTCCAACTTGATTATCAAGGAAAAAAGGTCTGGACCTCTGCGGAGGACCTGGGAAATTGCCACTCCATCCTCTGTAGGAAATGCTTAGCTTCAAGGTCACCCAGAGCGGAGACGGGCTCTCTCACCCCACCCATGACTTTCTAGCTCTCACGGGCAGGCCGAAAAATGGCACAGCCCGTTTAGAGGTTAATCTGGTCCCACTGTCGCGACAGAGGCAGATTCCAGAAAGTTAGGAAGTGTGGAGGGAAGCCAGTCGGTTGGGTCCACTCGGCCTGCAGCGACCTGACCTTCCAGGGAAACGTGCAGGCATGAATTGATTTTGCAAAGCAAGCATGAGTTGAAAAGGTGAGGCACTCCTACTCAGGAGTAAGCCCTACTGAAGTCAGCGAGGGAGCCTCACACACGAAGTCCTCCGAGGAGCAAAGCTTGGGAAACTCTGCAGAACGAGTCAGGGCAGAGACGGGAATGTTCACGTAGTGGAACTCAGTTCCCCTCGAGTCGGGATTTTGTATGGGAAGGGACGCTTTTCAGGGGCCCTGGGAACCCGCGTCGGCAGAGGACAGTCCTCTGTAACCATGCTCTCCCCCTCTCCCCCGTCCCCGTCCGTGCCGCAGCGGGCGAATGAGCGCCGCTCAGTGTCTCCAGCACCCCTGGCTCAACAATTTGGCGGAAAAGGCCAAGCGGGTCAACCGGCGCCTGAAATCCCAGGTCCTGCTCCGGAAGTACGTGATGCGGAGGCGCTGGAAGGTAAGGGCCAAGCGGGTGGGTGGGCTCTCAGGAGCCTGCCCCCCCCTGCCATGTGTGTGTATATAGTGGGAACAATTCTGTCCTCTTCTGACACAGTGCAGTTTCCGGAGTAAGGATGGGGCTGGGCCAGCGGTCCCATTACGAATGGGATGGTGGTGGTGGTGGTGGTGGACTGGTCTACTGGGTTGCATCCAGTTTCAGACCCGCTTGCGGTCGGCTCCTGGGTGTCTCTTAGTGGTTTGACCATGTACGTTTTTAATGCTGAAAACCACCTTGAGTCCCGCTATTAGGAGCAGGTGGAATATGGATGCCAATAATAACAGCGGTACTTTTTTGTCTTCTGTCCGTGCAACAGAAAAACTTCATTGGCGTGTGTGCTGCTAACAGATTCAAGAAGATCACCAGCTCGGGGTCCCTGACGGCACTGGGGGTCTGAGCGTGGTGGGGCCGGACCCTCGGGGAGGAATCGAGCGGCACGGAAGCAAGAGTGAGGAGGCCTCCGCCAGGAAGCCTGAACCGCGTTGTGTTTGTGTTGCCTGCTGCTGGGGAGCTGCACCCCAGAGGGCCGGGGTCCACCCGGAGGACGTGGGGGTCCGTGCCGCCTCCCCGGCGGCGGGCCAGGCGAGGCGAGGCGCCCGAGGGTGCCGGCTGGGAACTCTCGAGGGCGGGCCCCGTCCACACGCGGGTGGCTTGCTCTCCTCCCTCTGCCAGAGGCCCAGCCAGCCCACTGGACAAGTGCCCGTCTCTGCCGGCCCCGTCCCCTCGCTCCTGCCGCTCCGCGTTGCGCTGGCGAGCGCTGCCTGGTTGGGATCCCTCGCTGCTCTCGCACGACCGGTGTGCACCTCGCCGTGCCCACGCGGGAACGTTTGCCGCGTCCAGGGACTGTCCGAAGCCCGGCCGACACCTGCATCCTCTCCCCTGCAACGAGACTTCCCCACTGCATCCCCTGCGTAACGGGAACTGCCTTGCCCTCTCCCGCCTCTTGGCCGCACTGCGAGTTTCCTGCGAGTTTGGTTGCCTGCCGCTAGCGGGTCTGAGCCTGCGTCCTGCCGCTGGGGTTGCCCCTCCAGTGCTCCGAACCGCCTGCTCCGTGGTGCTGCGGAGAGCATCGCCCGGGTCCCCAAGCGGTGCGTTCGCTTTGCCGGCTGAGAAAGGAGGCTGCCCGAAGCGCGGAGCCCAGGTTTCGTTGCCCGTGGGAAGAGCGGGATCCCTCACCGCTTCCTTTGCTCTGTGACGGGGCTTTCTGGCTGAAGCGCTGCTTTGAAACAGGCCTCGTCGGCCACCCCCATCGGCCACGGCTGACCACGGCGCATCCCGACGCGCCCCAAGTGCCTGTGCACAGCAAGGGAAGCTTTATGGCTTAACCATAAAGGGGGGCCTGAAGTACCTTGAGATCGCTGGCTTGCCACGGTACCTGTGCGAGCCAGTGTGGCACGGCGGCAGAGGTCCCCACGCAGCCACGGCGCCCACTGGGTGGCTTCGGGCCAGTCCCCGACTCAGCCCGGCCTACCTCACAGGGTTGTTGTGAGGAGGAGGTGGCTTGAGTTCCTTGGGAGAAAAAAAGGCAGGATAGGAATACAATAAATAGATGGAGAAACATTAAGCGGCTTCCCACAGCCAGCCGCCTCTTGCCCCGGGGGGCACCCTGCGTCCACCCGCAGCTGTGGCTCAGCCGCTGCGCTCTTGGGGGTCGGCTGTGCTGCTCTGTCAGCGCAAGAAGGCCCTCCGCACGGGCCCCCCATGGCCCCCCAAGCCAAGACGTGGAACCTCGCAGCAGGACAGGACCGCTGGGGGGGCCAGCGCTTGGCAGGAAGCGGCCCGCCTCCCTCCTCCGGCCGAGCGACGTGCAAGGGCTGGGCAGGAAGCAAGCGGCCCTGTTCCAGGCGCGTCCCCCGAGGGGCAGCTGGTGCAGAACGAAGGCTGCATTGTGCGGCCTCCCGCGCTGACCCCGCTGCCCCTCTGAGCTGCCGAGGGGGGCGGGCGGGGCGAGGGCAAGGCCCCGAGCCGGCCGCGTAATGGAGACCATCTGCACTCGCTTCTCCTCCTCCTCACCCTTTTGAAAGGGTTGCTTCAGCGCTGGCCACCAACAGACAGGAACTGCCGGGTGTGTGTGCACACACGTGCGTGCTTAGGGAGTGTGCTAATCCTCCGGCAAGGCCTGGCTCGGGGCGCTTTGGGGAGGAAAGTCCGAGGAACCGGCCTCGGTCGAAGCTGAAGGCGAACGAGCCTGTTGCATGAGCCCCTGCCTCTCCAGCGCTCCCTCGTCCTGCGCGGGGAGGTGGGTGATCCGGAATAGCCCGTCCCCTGCCCCACCGCCCTCGGAATGGCCTAGCCTGACCCCCAATTCCTGCTGCACCTGGCACGCGCTGCTTCGCGGTTCCTTCACACCCAGCTTTCCCAAAGCCAAACTCGGCTGGCCGTTCTTGAGCCCATTTTCCTGATCGCCCACTGAGGCCAAGGATGGAGCTCACTGGGACAAGGGTTGGGTGGGCTGCCCAAAGCGGTGGCTCTGTGCCTCTTCCACTCCCGCATCCCGGTAGAACGTGGGAAAGCAGGGTGTGGACCCGGTCCACTCCCCACCTCATTGCGGCAGGGCGGGGAGGGGGCCTTTCTGGCCCCACACCGGGGCACGCCAGAAGCCACCGAGCAGCAGTGGGGCCGATCGGCCCCCACGAGCTCCCCTGGGATCTGGCCCGGCTCCCTCCCCACTGGAAAACAAGCGTGGCCCTTCCCGCCCGGCCTCGTGGCCGGTCGTTCAGCACCAGGCCCGCGCTTGCCAGGTGGCGTGGCCCTGCTGGGTTCTGCCCATGGTAACGTTGGTCTGGAGGTGGAGGGGGAGGCGGCGGCACTCCTGTGAATGTACGGACGGGTTCGCAAGCGCCCGCTGCTTTTCTGCCCGCGTTGCTCCCGGCCTGCCCCCAGCAAGAAGCCGTGCCAGGCCTTGTCTCCCGGCGCCATGCTTGGCCAGGCGCTCCCCGACAGCCTGGGGAAGCCGGCCGCCGCTTCTGCCGCCTTCCCGTGTGCCGTGCCAGCGTGTTTCCTCCGTGCGAGGGCAGCACGGCTGGCTGCAGAGAAGTGTAAATAAATGTACAGGACACGTGCCAAGCGGTTTGTCTCAGTGGTTTGCGTCCACCGGCAAAGCCAGTCCCGTGGCTGCACTCGGCCCTTCGCAGTCCTCACGGAAGGGAGTGCAAGCAGGAGGCCGGGCCAGGGACTCTGCGGCAGGGCTGTGCATCATGGGGGTTGTAGTCCAGCACAACTGCAGGGCACCAGGTTGGGGAAGGCTGTTCTGTGCAGCAGCTTATAAGTAGAAATTGAGCCCAGTTGATTCTGCTTTCTCCCAGTTGCTCATTTTTTCCCATCTTAACTGGAGTTAGAAAATGTTTTTCTTTTTAACGTTTGTATGGAAATTCATATGCATTTTTGTATGCCTTTTTGCCTCTTATACACATATTTTGTGAGCAATATACAATTCTGAATGCAATTTTCATGCATACATGTGTTTTTGTGTATAAGTTTTCCCAAGATACCCATTTTTGTACTTTTTTTTTGGATTGGCACATTCCATGGCAGAATGGCTCATTTCGAGGAATAGCCAAACTTCCACTTCCTCATTCGTTTGCACAGATGGGGTTCATGGGGTGCTTCAGCACCCCCAGTGCAGCCGGCAGGATAGGTACAACAGGTTTTTGCAGTGACTCAAGCGGTTCTGGGGTGCTTCCAGGCGGGGACCCCCTGCGATCAAGCGAGGGGCATGGTGCAGCTGGGTTCAGTGGACCAAAGGGGTCGACTCAGGATGGGGTGCTTCTCTGGGAAGCCAGCTTGCCTCACTCCTGCTCTTCTGGTCACCCCATTCCGGAGCACTGGCTTTGGGGGCTGAGGATGGAGGAAGACTGCTCCTCTCTCCCGGTCCAACATTCATGGGGTTCTCAGGCTGCGCTGGGGAAGCTCGATGCAGTTCTCAAGGGCACCCCCAGGTTGAAGTAAATAAGGGGCCCCATTTCATTGGGGGTTGTGCATTGAGAGAAATGGGGCCAGCGATCTACAGTTAGAGGGCCTGAACCCTACAAACTGTATGTACAGTTGTCATCGTTTCATTTCTCTACCACCCCATAGTGGAAACTCTCTGGGCATTTTGCTATGGATGGTGTGGAAGCTGGGCGGCGCAGGAAGCCGGCAGGAGGCATTGCGAACGTGGCGGTGGAGCAGAGCTGCGAGACTGGCAGGACGACCAGGACGTGGGTCCTTGTTCAGGCCCAGCCAGAGTTTGTTCTAGAAACAAAAATGATGGAACTGAGGCTGCCATAATCCAGCCGCATCATGAGAAGGCGAAACTCCCTGGAGGAGACCATCCTGCTGGGGAAAGTCAAAGGACCAAACGGTGGACGCCATCGAGGAAGCCACGGCCTTGAATCTGCAAGAGCGGAGCCGGGCTGTCATGCCTGGGACACTCTGGGGGGCGGGGGGGGGGGCTTTAGGGCGCATCACAGCAGCAACTCTTCCAGGAACACTTCCTTCCTGACTTTTGGGGACAGGCAGAATCCCGTCTTCTTCTCCACTAGCCGTTTTTGTCTGCAGCTGCTGGCAACTGCTTTGCTTCGCTTGAACACAGAACTGCCTCCCTGGGAGATGGCAGCTCCCAGGATGTCAGGCTGGGGATGCTGGGAGTTACTGTCCACCCCATCCAGAGGGCTCCGGGGTAGGAAGGCTGGTATAGAACCACTTCTGTCCAGATGTTCAGAGGCAGATCCGTTCCGAATCGCTGGTATTGGGGGGGGGGGGTCTTTTCAGCTTGTCTTGGGCTTTAGGAGAGGGGCTTGTGCGCAACAGCGTCACCAATGAGGAATAATGTGTAAGCCTCAGCTACTCTCCCTCCCTGGGTAGGGTCAGTCCTCCGGCTTCTCCCTACCCCTCACGCCCAGTCTCCTCGCTCCTCCTCCAGGCTCCTCTGTGGTGAGCAGGGCCGTCTTCACGCCTGGGCCTGGTGGGCACTTGCCCGTGGGCCCCACACTAACCTGTGCGTGTTAACCCTTGGAAAATTGGACAACTTCCCAAATTAACAGCAGTTGTCGTTGTCGTAGGGGCCCCAGCGCACTGCTTCGCCGGGGCCCATCATGCTGTTCAGACGGCCCTGGTGTGAGTGATGCACTGAAGAAGACTCTCTCTTGCTGATTTCTGTAAAGTCACAGCACATGAAATGCTGCCTCCCCTTTACTGCAACAATATATATTGCTTTGGGGAAGTGCAAACACATTTGAATTTGGGGAAATGGCCTCCAGCGGGCCCGCGGCCTGGCGCTGCCTCCGGCTTCTCTGCCGCACTGCCCAGGCAGCCTCAGACTGGCCCCAGCGATCTGCCGCCGTGCCTGTCCACCGCGCTTGCATTTCCCTGCACCCTCTTAAACACCCTTTGCGTTGGCACCCCCACACTTGCGAGTTTCCAGCCATTCAATTTCAGTCGGCCACTGGAGGAAAGGAGGCCAGAACCTTCTGTGT